TCTTTGTCTTAAAGAAATCTCTCTAACATTTCTTGAAATACTGGTTTGGTAGTGATGAACTCCTTTAGCTTTTTCTTCCCTGGGAAGCTCTTTATCTGTCTTTTGATTCTAAATGATAGCTATACTAGGTAGAGTAATCTTGGTTATAGGACCTTGCTTTTCATCACTTCGAATATTTCATGCCAATCACTTCTGGCTTGCAAAGTTTCTGTTGAGAAATCAGCTGACAGTCTAATGGGAGCTCCCTTGTAGGCAACTAACTGCTTTTCTCTTGCTGCTTTTAAGATTCTCTCTGTCTTTAACCTTTGGCATTATAATTATGATGTGTTTTGGTGTGGGCCTTTTTGGGTTCATCTTGTTTGGGACTCTCTGTGCTTCCTGGGCTTGTATGTCTGTTTCCTTCTCCAGGTTAGACAAGTTTTCCATCATTATTTCTTCATAGAGATTTTTAATCCCTTGCTCTTTCTCTTCTGGTACCCCAGTGATGAGAATGTTAGTATGCTTGATGTTGTCCCAGAGGCCCTTTAATCTAGTCTCATTTTTTTGGATTTTTTTTTTTTTTTTTTTTTTTGCACTTCCGTTTTCTGCTACCTTATCTTCCAAATTGCTGCTTCCATCTTCTGCATCTAATCTGTTGATTTCCTCTAATGTATTCTTTTAGTTATATTCTTCATTTCTGACTAGTTCTTTTTAATATTTTCTATGTCCATTTTTATGTTTCCTATCTCTTTGTTGAAGTTCTCACTGTGATCGTTGAGCATCCTTATAACCAGTGTTTGAAACTTAGCATCTGGTAAATTTCTTATCTTCTTTTTCTGGAGCTTTGTTTTTTCATTTGGGACATGTTTGTCTCCCCATTTTGCCTATCTCTCTCTGTTTGTTTCTATGTATTAGGTAGAGCTGCTATGTAGAGTGATCTTATACAGTAGGTGTCCTGTGGGGCCTAGTGATTCAGTCTCCCTGGTAACCTGAGTTGAATGCTGTAGGTGTGTTCCTTGTATGGATTGTGTGTGTCGTCCTACTGTAGTTGAGCCTTGGTTTCTATTTACACATTAATGGGAGGGATTGACCCTCAGGTTGATTGGTTGTGAGAACTGGCTGTGAGTTGTTGTACAGAGGCTGACTTTATAGAACACAATTCGCTTTAGCAGAGCTCTGGTGCCTGCCCAGCTTGCCCTTTGGATGTGTTGTCTACAGAGGAAGCTGGGTGATCTGAAGCTGGCGACTGGGTGTGCTGGCCCTGGGAAGAGCCCTGGTGGAAGGCAAGATCAACCGCTACCCTGCCTTGCCCAGAGCCACTTCGTATGAGCCACAAAGCAATCTGCAGGTAGTCACCACCCACTCTGGACTTAGAGGTTTCTGGGAGAGGACAAACCTCAAACCAAAGACAGCTGCTACTGGTGCCTAGCTTGGGGCTGCTCATTAAGAGGTATGGGGCTCACCAAGGCCAGGCCAGATACTGCTCGTTCAGAGTTTGTGAACCTTTGAAAGATTTTAAGAAAGTCCACAGCATGGGCCAAGACAGAGCATTTGTATGGAAAAGCTACTGCAAGGGATTTGGGCCTGCAGTTTGGGAGGGGTGGAGTTTCAGGGAGTCACCAGGGCAGGGCAAATGGTGTTAGTCAGGTTAGTGGAGACTCAGATGGTTCCCGCCTGCATCTGCAAACTGGGCCACGGGAGGGTTCAACAAAGGAACAATGGCATCTACCTACAATTCTCTCTGAGAGAAAGCTGCCCCTCCAGCCTCTTCCTTGAAGGCGGACAATTTATTTCTTCTCCATATGTTCTGGCACCTTTTGAGCTGCTGCCCTAGCACTAGAGCTCATAATGAGTGAGTGTGTCAGTGAGTAAGTCCACTGCAGGCCATTTAAGAGGAGCTTCTGGGACTCTAGCAGCTCTTCGTCTCACTTAGCCACAATCTGCACTGGTTTTCACAGCCAGAGTTATGGGGACTTCTGTTACTGGCACTGGAACCTTGGGCTGGGGAGCCTGTGTGGGGCTGGGGAGCCTGTGTGGGGCTGGTTTCCCTCACTCCTCATGGTGGACCTCTGCAGCTGAGATATCTCTCCCAATTTTTAACTGCCACACATGGGCGCGGGGCCAGCCCATTCAGCATCTCTGCCCCTCCTACCAGTCTCAACGTGTGGCATCTTCTGTATGTCTGTAGTTATAGAACTTCTGTTCAGTTATGCTTCAGGAGATTCTCAGTGATGATTGTTCTGTGGTTTATTTATAATTTTGATGTGGAGGCAAGCACAGCATTATCCTACTCTGCCATTGTGACTGGTAATCTTGACCTAGTTCTTGAGCTAACTTTTTCATACTGGTAACTGTAAACTATTTAATATCTTTGTGTAACCGTAATACCTAATATCCTTGTAAAATGGAAATCTTGACTAGTCTAGGTCTTAACACTGTTGAATTTAAGTGCAATAATACTAGCTTCTTCCTAGGGGAATCCTAGGATTTCTTACAGTAAATTAGGGTTCTCTTTACTTTTTATTATTTGTTGTAAAATATTTGGTTATGTCACTGGGAATCTGTTTTCTGTTAAGCAAGACTGTCATAATTATTATTCAGTATATATTAAGTACCAATTATATGTAGGAAATTTAAGGAGATATGACAAAATCTCTAACTTCAAAAGTTGATAATCAAGTTCAGTATTAGAGTACATATTAATATAAACTGGCACATGGTAGATGGCACCTGAGTGGTATAGATAGTGATGCTCCAAGTGTTAATGATGACTTGATTATTAAAGGTTTCACAAAGGATGTAGGATGTAAGGCCTTAAATAAGACAGAAGAGTTAAGAGGTCATTCTAGGCATAAGGGCTAAGAATGATGTTCCTTGTGTTTATGTAGTAGCTTTTTAAAACATGAATTTATATAAGGAGTTGATATTGAAGGCACTCAAATGACGAGCTGAAGAGTTTGTAATTGGGAAGGAGAAAATACTTTTGAGCAGTGGGCAGTGATAAATAAGATTTAAAAATTTTCAATTGTGTTTAGTTAGTTTGCTTTCTTAAACAAGAAGCACCACATAAAGTGGTATTGAATATTACTCATCTTTTATAATTATGGATTAAACTGCTAATGTCCCATGCATAGATTAGAAAATTGATATCTTAAATGTGAGTTTTGCCATGTTTGTGGGAGGTAAAATTATTGTTCTGGTCTACAAGCAAGTGTTAAATCATCCCTTTCTCAGATCAAACCTGCTTTCTGCAGGGTTCTAACCTTGCAAGTATTATATAGTTTTTTAATGCATACATGCAAGTGTACATGAATAAGGAGAGCTGTGTGTGATTACTCCACCTAATGTTTTTGAGTACTCATTATAAAAATAACCTCCATCTGTTAGAAAAACAGAGTGAACACAAAAAATATGAAGAACAATAGACAAGGTTTCCAAATCTTATAAATGAGGCTGTTATGTGAGTGATAATTTATGAAATTTGGGAGTTAGTTAAGTATTTAGTATTGTCTAGATAGGCTAAGACATACTTTTTCTGTCCCTTTCCCTTAAAAAAGCGTAAGGGAGAGTATAGGCTGACAGTTTCTTACACGTAGATATACTCCTACTAGTTAAGATGGTATGATCTAAATAAAACATCTTAAATCATATTTCCCTTTTCTTACTAATATTGTTTGAGGAAGTTTGGGCAAACAACCAAGATAATTGGAGAATATTAGATACAATTGGAAATATGAGAAAAAAATGAAGGGAAATATAAATTTATAATGTTGCTCATGCAGGAAATCCAGTAATTGCTGATCTCTTCTGATCACTCTGATTGTTTTTTTAACAGAATGTACATTCTGAATGTAGATACATTGTCTTCTGAAGTCAGAGAAAAGTATTTTGTTGATGATTGGTTTTGTGGAAGCCTAAAATCATTATGCAGTTTTAATAATGCAAAGAAAATGGACAGAAATGATGAAAACAGACAGTTTATTTTAACTACTATAACGAAGTAAATGGATTATATTCTTGGATCATTTCCCTATTTGTACAGTCAGCTCACAGGTTTGTTCCTATTCCTGTACTAGGGAATTGAAGGTGCCCATAAGACACTAACAGTCTAGATATTTGTGCTTTATAGTATACATGCAACAGTTACCAAGCAGTTGTTCTAATTCTCTTCATCTTTACAATTTTAAAGAAAATATTTAATGAAAGTGAAACATAAGTGTTTGTTTAGTATGCGGTTGGTGATGACAGAATATTTTTTTCGTTAAGGATACTCACCTGGATTATCAAAAATAGCATTGGAATTATCCCATTGTAAATTTTTGTCTTGGGCTCATCCCTGAATTGTAGGGATGAGTTTTTAAGACTCCGTGTTTCTTGACTTTATTTTCACTCTGGGGTTGCACACAGGATCTGCTTCAGGCACTCTGTATACTCAGTCCGCAGTGGAAACTATACCAAAAGTTAAGCTTTCCAAAGCTTTAGTTTAGGACTGCTTAGTACCACGAGGGTTTTGGAAAGTCCTTCATAGACATAACCTGTGTCAATGGAATGCCTTGGAATGCATGACTGCTGTCACTGCTTGATAAAGAGCGGGGATGGAGGAGAGGGAGGGTGAGTAGCCTCATTTCTGTTAGTTCTGTCCAAATTAAAAGGAAGAACTATTAATTTCCTTAGTTTATTTAGCTAGGCTTAACCCCCCACCATATCTTTTTCTTAGCTTGTGATGAAAAAGCCAACAAATACCTTTCTTTGGGTGATATGTATAGTAGTAGTAGAGAGCATTTTGTATTAAAGGCTTGTATGTTCCCTTAGCTGCCATGGTCTGTAGCCTATTGAGCTTATGTTACTAGCTGAATATCTAGTCCAGATGGCTAAACTGTTGGAGAATATAAAACCAAAACCTATTTCAGGCAGCTATCTACTTTACTGATTTTTGGATATGATCCATTCTAATTAGTAGTAACTTTCTCAATTTATTTTAAAATTTAATTTTTAACTGTTTGTTTTTTTTCTTTACCTAGGTTACAAAATATCCTCCTATGCTTGAGACCTACAGACTACATGTCCTACAAGAACTAATCAATGGTTTTTCATCTCCTGGAGATACATTAGAAACAAATATGGTGCCAAAAGATCTTCTTATCTTTCTCTGACTACGGTTTATTTGGACATACTTTTGTATTGAAGTGAAGTGTACAGACTGAGGCGATTCACTGTGGAGAGACTCTGTCATGTAGGATCATGGACCATCCTAGTAGGGAGAAGGATGAAAGACAACGGACAACTAAACCCATGGCACAGAGGAGTACACACTGTTCTCGACCGTCTGGCTCCTCGACATCTGGGGTTCTTATGGTGGGACCCAACTTCAGGGTTGGCAAGAAGATAGGGTGTGGGAACTTCGGAGAGCTCAGATTAGGTAAGAACTTGGTTATATCAGTGGCTTTAACTAACAACAACAGCAGCTATAATGAGCTGTGGTGTGTTTCAAGACAAGTGGTTTATAGTTTTATGGGAAATTCTCTTAAAGAACATCTGTTATAAGAATTAAAGCAAATGTGAATGGGACTGTAGTCCTCAGTTATAATTGCTGTCCAAGGTTTATGTCTCTGTGTGATAGGCTTTAAATTTTCCACCAATTCTAAGATTTTATGATGTAGGGAGATTCACATACAGGTATCAATAAAATGAAGATTTTATTTAGTTGGTCTTTTTTTTAACAGATTCCCGAGTATTCTAGATGCTGTTGGTCCTTGAACTACACTTTGAGAAAGGAGTTAGGCCTTGTTTTAATTCAGACTCTGCCCTGATAAGAGAGGACTACATCCTCACTCAGTAATACCCAGATTTAGTCTACAAAGATATACATCCTCTTTTGAGAGGCTTTCAAACTGATAACTACATTTGCATTTCTTCTTAGAAGTCCTAGCATGGGGATTGAGCTAGAACTTGAGAAATTATGCAATTTTATTTCCTAACCGAGGAACTAGGATTTTTTAATTTAAAATATAAATTTATGAGTGAGATGATGAATAATGACAAAATTGACCAGTTTGAAGATGTGAAAGTGGGAAGAAGGTGCATTGGGTATTTATATATTGGGTATTTCTAAACCTTTTTATGGCCCTCCCTAGGTGAATGGGGAAGAGAAAATGAAAGATTTTATAAATGTATGAAGCTGGACATGAGCTTAGAGAATGTGAAGAGGTTCCCTTTTAGGGAAGAGGTTCCCTTTTTTTCAGACATTTTTTGAGGCTATGAATTACTGTGAAAGCCCATTGTAGGAGACTTAGGCCCTTGGGAGCAAAAGATGATTACTTATAGGAGCATAAGATGATTACTTGCTTGTTACCTCTGCTACTTCTGATAATTTTGCAAAAGAAGATAAAAAAGGTCTTGTTTTTGATACGCCATAAAGAGAGTCAGGGAAACATCACTACACTAGCCAGAGATCACTAGGTACAGAATCGAATTTGGGGATGCTGAGAATGAATTTATTTTTACTGGTAGAGGGCTGGCAGCCTAGAATTTTAAGACCTGACTATGATAATAAAAGGCTCTGCATATTTAGTGATGTGTTCATGTTCAGGCTAGCAAAGCCAGCAGATACTACTGAGCATCGAGGTAAGATGTGTAACTTCACACTGCTTGAGTTCCTAGCGACTACTGAATTGCTTTAGCAGCTAGTTTGGTAAATATTTATGTATTTAATGGATTAACTTTACTCTAACATCACAGTAGTACTTGAAATTAATTAGATTAGACATAAACATCCACAGAATTACTGCTGAGAGGCAGTGTATAATGCATATAAATTCATGTATTCTAAGAACATCATAAAATTGTTTAAATTGAAGAAGAAACTTGGTTGATGAAAACTGCAAATCTATTTTATTCAATTTAAGTATAGATTTGCATTATATGATCTTTAAGTTTACATAGGAATGGAAAAATTCATTCAATTAAAAGGATAAATTTATAGCTGATGAAGACTGTTGTGTTCTATTTCTTCTCATGAATCTAAGATAATTTTGTTCTTATTTTGACTTGCCTTATAGTCAGTAGAAAAACTTGTCTTTCTTTACAAGTGGTTTTATTCTTGTGTGCTTATCGGGTTTTCATTAACTCTGGGCCAATATTGTAATAGCACTGTATCTAGAAACACTATCAACAGAAACCAGGAAAGGTACTTTCAGAATCATTTGACATCTTTCTATCAAGAGGTGTGCTGTATACCCCATTCCTGTGTCCTTTTGCTTTGGTGTTCGTAAGTAGAAGATTGTGCAGACGATGGAAAATGTAAACTAGGAAATTCTAAACTCAAGGCAGATGTAAATTGGCCTCCACCAAGACTATGGCCTGCAGGGTTGTTCTTTCTTCTCCAAACTCACTTCTTTCTCTAGCCACACTGTTTGTTCTGTCCCTCAAGCAGCCAAGGGTGTTTTTACTTCAGACTTTTATTCTCTGCCTGCAGAATTTTTTCTCCCAAATTTTGCTTAGCTGTTCGCTTCTCATTCTTTAGGCCTCAGTCACCTTTATGTTACCATCTCAAAGAAACCTTCTGTGACATCCCCTACCTTCATTTTAAAATAGCACGTTTCTCACCTAGCCACATTCTATCCCATGAAACTACTTTATTTTATTCATTGTATTATCAGTATCTGAAATAATTTTATATATTTGTTTACCTGTTAATTGTCTCTCTTTACTTGAATATAAGCCCATTGGAGGTTAGGGATTCTATCTGTATTATTTACTGTTATTATTTATAGAATAGATGGATATCCAGATGAATAGGAAAAGGAGAGGGAAAAACCATGGGCTCCATTGGCCTCCTGGTATGTGGGGTCGACGGGTAGGTAGTGGCCTTAATGTTTAGGTAGACCCCTGGATTCTAGACAGAGAACTAAAAAAGTGACTTAATGTTCAGTACATTTTGGTTCTCTGCAAATCTGTTTCCACCCCATTATCCACTTAACAAAACAGTTCTTAAGTATTTACTATCTTGGCAAACTTTGGGAAAGATACAAAAAATAATAAGATGTAGTTTCTGTCGTTAAGAATCTCATAATCTGGTGTTAGAGAAAAAAAAATTATAATGCAAATTGGTAAGTATTATAATAGATTGCGTAAAAACTACATTGGCAGAGAAGATTAATGAAAGTTTCAGAAGGAGATATTATTTGATTGAGAGTAAGACAGGACTTCCACTGGCCGGCACAAGGAAGAAGGGCTCTCCAGCTGTTGGATACACAAACATTAGGTGTTGTGGAAGTGTTTAGCATATTATCAGGGCAGCAAGTAGTTACTTATACAGGGCTGGGTTAGGGTGTGTCAAGTGAAAGAAAGTAATAGAGGCAGCTATTAGGTAGGTTGGGACAAGATTGTGAAGTGTTTGCATGGTATTAAAGCATTTGGACTTTATACTGTAGGCAGTGGAGTAGAATCATCAAGAATTTTACAATAGAAAAGTGACGTGATCTGGTTCGTAATCTAGAAAGATAATTCAGGTAGTTATAAGATTAGATCAGATAGGAAAGAGATTGACGTCTTGTGGATTTTGCTCTAATTATTGTCACATTATATTATCTTCCTCCATCTCTCTACCTCCAGACATGTTTGGCGGTAGTACTTTGCTTTATTAATCGTCATATTCTCAACTCCTTTTATTATGTATGGCATATAATGGGTAATTAAGAATGTTTGACTTTATAGTCCAGGTTAGAAATGACCAGGCCTGTCTTAGCTCTTGGTTCTGAAAACAGCAGTGAGATCGAGAGGAAGGGATGAACTAGGGAGAAATTTCAGAAGTGGACTATAGGCAGGATTCGAGGGGAAAGGGTCAAAAATGACTGAGTTTGCCAGCTTGGGGAGACCAAGTGAATGAGGAAACCTTTAATGGAGATAGGAAATACAGGACTGGAGTAGCAGTGGAGAGGACAGGTAGATAGAGTTCATGAATATAATGACTTTGAGAGGAGTATGCAGCACAAACGCAGAGATATGGATCTAAGACTTAGAAAAGTTTAGGCTTGAGATAGCGATTAAGAATTTATCACTATGTAGGTGTTAAGGAACACATAGTCAGATGATGAGATGATGCTTTGTGGAGCTTGGATGACTGGGAGATTGTGCACTTAAGGGATATTGGAAAAGGAAGAGCCTGAAGAGTACAGAGGTTGAAAAGTCAAAAAAGAAGAGGTTCTAAATGGTTGAGGTATTAGCAAAGCCTTGTGCCCTAAGGTTAAGCAGGAGAGAACTAATTAATTATTGCCTTTAGAAATAAACAGCTATTTATTTCTGAGATATTTCTTTTTTCTTCTCCCTTTTGTTTTTATTTTAAATGACTACATGTATTTTGTAATCAGAAAAAAAGCAATAAACGAAAAGCAAAAATAATTCTTTATAAGAAAATTTTTAAAAAGAAAATGACATGCTTATCACCAGAATTTTTCTTAAATTCTACTTTAGAAGTATCTCCAAAGATAACCACTAATTTAATTTTCCAGAAATTAAAAATGTATATCAGGTTATATTTTAGAAATGCAATCAAATTGTACATGCACTTTTTATTTCTACTTATAGATTATTCATTTTTTAATATCTATAGTTATTCAGTACTTTATTTAGTCTTTATATATGCATATATGAATTATTTGTTTTTTACTGTTATAAATAATACTATGCTGAACATCCTTATAGACACTCATAGTATATCCTTGTAGTCCAAATTTGATTATTTTATTTTCTTAGAATAAATCTTGAAAGTATACTTTCTGAGTCAAGGACATACATATTTGCAATTTTGTTACACATTGACAGTTGTCCCTCCAGAAAGATGGTTTTTATTTACCTTGCGTGTATATGGGGTGGGGGTTGTTTACCTAACTCCTTCAGATACCTTAAACATTATGGAGAGTCTTCACCTGTGCTGGTCCAATAGGGGAAAATGGTATCTTGTTAAATGTGTATGTGTTCATGGGCGAAGGTGAACATCTTTACACATTTATTTACATTTCTTCTTTTAAGAGTTGTTTCTTTGTGGCCTTTGTCTACTTTTTAATAGGCAGATTATTTCTGCGGAGTCTTACCTGTGTATATTGCTTCAACAGAAAGGGATTTTGAATGTTTGAGAAAGGAAGATTGATGAAGGATGATCATGGATAAAAGGTAGGAGAACACACTGGAGTGGAAACAGATCTGCAGGTTGTTTTTCATTGAAAACATGAGGAGTATATTGAGGATTTTTTTTTTTTTTTTAATTTTGAGTCTTTACTGAATCAAACCTGGAAAGAATCATGTAAACATTAAGATGCAAACGATTTAGTTCCTCCAGAATTCAGAAAATGTATATCCCAAGTCCACAAATAACAGCTTGTTTTCCTGCTTAGCTGCAAGAATAAGAAAGTAGATAATATC